TGTGTGTGTGTATCTCTGTGTGTGTGTGTGTGTGTGTGTGTACTCTCCTGGGCTGTCTGTGTGTGTGTGTGTGTGTGTGTACTCTCCTGGGCTGTGTGTGTGTGTGTGTATCTGTGTGTGTGTGTGTATACTCTCCTGGTCGTGTGTGTGTGTACTTTCCTGGGCTGTGTGTGTGTGTATCTGTGTGTGTGTGTGTGTGTACTCTCCTGAGCTGTGTGTGTACTCTCCTGAGCTGTGTGTGTGTGTGTGTATCTGTGTGTGTGTGTGCTCTCCTGGGCGGTGTCTCTGTGTGTAGTTACACACACACCCTCTCCCCGGCTGCTCCTGTCTGTCCCGCTCCCCGGCGGGGCCGCAGCTGAGCCACCGCCCGGGTTTGTCCCCGCACCGCTGTCACCATATGGCGCGACTCCCCTGCGCGCTGCGGAAGGATCCGATTCCAGCCGCTTTAATGGCTCGTGTAAACGGCCGGTTTATCACCGCGATTGGGGGCGGGGGAGCGGGGCCGCGGCCCGGCTGAGTGACAGCAGCTTTTAACCCCTTCACCGCCAGAGCGCGGGGCGCAGCGAGCCGGGGGGGGGGGCAGTGGCGCTACCCCTCTCCCCGCTGATGGGGGGCGCCGATCGGGCCGGGGGGAGGCCGGAGCCAGCCACGCCCGGGGCCGTGGCTTTGCCCTGGCGTTCGCGGCGGCAGTTCTCCGGCCCGCACTGTCCCGGGTGGGGTCCCGGCCTCCCAAGCCAGGCCCGGCGGGGGCTGCCACGCGGGCCCCCCCCCCCCGCCGGTGTTCAAGCTCAAACGTCACCAGCTGCCCCTGTAGTGCCGAGCGACTAGTGCTCCCACGCGTGGGCGTGCGCCCCGGGGGCTGTGGCGGGACGGCGCGGGGGGTGTCCCGGGGTGCAGCCATCTCAGAGCGGGTCTGCGGGGCGTGGGCACGTTTCTCCGGGTGTCTCTGTCCCTCCGCTCCTCCCTCGCCGGGCTGGGGGCTTCCCGGGCCCTGCCAGGCACTGGGGGTTCCCTGTGCTCTCGGCCCGCAGCCCCCAGCCCGGCCACGAGTCCTTGGGGGACGGTCCCGCTCCGCGGAGGCCGGGCGCGGCCCAGTGTCCGAGGCTCCCTGGCTAGAACAGCCGGCGCCGACCGGAGCGGGGCCCGGGCTCCAGGGACAGCCCCGCCGGACAATCAGAGCTGCAGGCACCGGTCCGACAGCCGCTCCCGCCCTGGCACCCCTGGACCCCTACCTGGGCCCACGAGCGCTAGCGCCGGGACCGGGACCCGGACTGGGCACCGGGTCTCGCTGGCCTCGGCTCGCCTCAGCGGGAGGGCGCTTCGCCGGCGCTCTGGACACCGCCCGGGGCCTGCCGCCCGGACCCCAGAGCCCGTGGGAGCGGAACCCGCAGCCGGGGGGTGCCCAGCACCCTGCCCGACTGGAGACACCGGAGAGAAAACCCGGGAGCTCCCGGCTGCGGCTTCGCCTTCATCCCGCCGGCCGGGCCTGGCCTGAAAAACCCTGGCTCGCCAAAGAAGGGAGCCGAGAAAGGGAACGAGATAGATAGATAGATAGATAGATAGGGTGGATGGGGTGGATGGGGATAGGTAAATAGATTGATAGAGGGGGTGGATGGGGATAGAGAGAGAGGGGGGGTGGATCGGGGATAGATGGATCGCTAGGAGATGTGTACGGGAAATGACAGACAGGTGACACGGACGGGGGTCTATGGGGATGGATCGATTTGTATCGGACTGGTAGAGATATTAACATTTATCTGTGCTTCTGTGCGTGTACGGAATAGCAGTGATCTGTGTGTGTGTGTGTGTGTGTGTGTGTGTGTGTGTGTCCGTGTGTATATGTGTGTGTGACTCTGTGTGTCTGTCTGGATCTGTGTCTGTGCGCGCTGGGCAGACACACGAGTGCGTAGCACACACAACCCGTCTCGGGAATAGCGGTGATCTGTGTGTCTGACTGTAGCAGTGTGTGTTTGTGTGTGTGTGTGGGGGGGGGTGTCTAGCTGTGGGTCAGTGCACTGAGAAGCGGTCGGGGTCGATGGCGGACACACACCAGCCAGGTTTCCCTGGGTCGCTGTGTGCAGAGGGTTTGCTCCAGCCCCGTGGAGAGACAGGGACACGCATGGGGGAGGGGGTGTCTCCCAGGGCCGCTCTGAACCCAGGATCGCAGCTGGGCCGGGCCGGCCGGGGCGCGGGGCACTCTCCGTGTCCGCCCCCGGGGCCCGGGAAGGGCGCTCACCTGTCCCGGGCGCGCTGTGTGTGTGTCCCGGCCCCAGACAGCCTGGCCGCGGGTCCCCGGCTGCCGGCCCAGCTGGCGCAGCGCAGGGGGGTTTACAAGTGCGCGGGATCATAAAGCTATTTGTAAGAGGGTTTATAGCCGGGCCGCGCTGTGAAACCCAAAACCAGCGCAGAGCCCCGGGCCCGGAGCCCTAATCACTGCCAGACGCGGCGGCCCCTGCGCTTTTATGGGGCATTTAGAGCAAGGGAGCTAATAAATTTCTGGGACGGCAGAAGCCCCGCAGGGGGGCCGGGGAAGCCGGGGTGAAGGGCCGCAGGAGGGAGCCGCGCACCCGGCTGCAGTGGGGAGGGGAGACGCGGCCCAGACGCGCCGCACATGGCCCGGGCCCGCCGGAACTTTGAAAAGCTCTTTACGATAGTCCAGGAAAAGCCTTTTATCGCTCGCCTTTTATATGGCTGGGGCCGGGTCTGCCTTGCATTAGCGAGCCGGCTGGAGAGGCCGGGGCGCCGGGGGAGGCTGGGCCCGGGCCGCGGCTCCCACCCGACGGCTGGAAGAGGCAGGCGGCGAGCAGGGCCGGCTCGGTCGCTCGTGGGGGCCACGCTACCCAAGTCCCACTCGCGGCAGCCGCGGGGCAGCTACAGCCACCGCCCCGCGGGCAGAGGCCGGGCCGGGCCGCTCCCGGGGAGCCTGACAAGGACCCGGAGCCCCGGCCCTGAGCAGCCAACAGCCGTGACCCCGCGTCCAGCTAACCCCGAGCCAGGGCCCCGCCGGAGCGAGGCGGTCCGCGGATGCCAGGGGGGTCAGGGGCGAGCGCCCGAGCCCAGACGGCTCCGAGCCCGCCCCTGGGGCCCGGCTCCGGGCGCAGGTTTGTAGGTAACTGCCCGAGAGCAGCAGCGGCCACCAGCCAGCGTCGGCCCGGGCCAAGACAGGGACGGTCCCCCCCGCACGAGCCGCCTGTGACCCCGCTGCCCGCAGAGCTCCGAGGGCCCGAGCTCAGCTCCCACCCCGCCGCCGCCGGAGCCCGGCCCGGAGCGCTAAGGCGCTGCGCCTGTGCAGCTCCCGACCCGGGGCAGCGGGTCCCCGGGGCCCGGAAAGCGAGGCCGCCCGCAGGCCCCAGACCCGAGCGCCCGGCACGTCCTGGGGCTTAGCCCGGGCAGGGCCTGGGCCAGGCCGCTTTGCAGCTCACGAACCCCAGCCGCGCCGTGAGCTCGGGCCGGCGGGACTGCCGCTGGAGGCGGGGCGGGGTCGCCGTGGGCTCTGCGGGGAGCCCAGGCCAACAGGCCGCGGGTTCGGGCTCCTGACCAGCTGGGCCGCGTGTGTCTGCCAAGGGCTGTCTTTGGACTGTGTCTCCGCGCTTCTAGGGGGCCTGGTCCTCGGGGAACCCCCCCGGCGCGGGGCCTGCGCCTCGGGACACCCGCCCCCCGCAGCGGGCCCTTGGAAGGGGGGTCCCCCTCCCACTCCAGCCAGCTCCCAAACTTTGCGAATACTCCAGCGGAGGCTCCTCCTACCCCGGTGCCCAATTAGTGACTCTGGCCCTGTCCCTTTAAGGCTCCAGCGCCGGGCCAGCGAGGGGGAAGCTTTGGCTAGAACTGAACTCTCCGAGTTAGCGGGGAGCCGGGGGAGCCCCGGAGCTGGGAGCCGGGCCCCGCGCTGCCTCGCTCCAAGGCCCCCGCCGGGGGCACTCGGGGAGGTGTGAGTTTTTGGCAGCAGCAGGCGCGGGGGCGGAGGCTGGGAGCCCGGGAGCGCAGTCTCCTAGGGGGGACCCGGCCCCATGGCTCGGGGGGGCTGCTGAGCCCCTGCCCGGCGAAGGACGCGGAGCCAGGAGCCCGGGGGCGGGCGGGGGCACCCCTCTTTTGGGGCCATGACCTCCGCCAAGGAAGGGAAGGCGGCGGGCCCCCTCTTGTGCCCCGCCGGCCAGGAGAGGCGGAGGAGCCCGCTGGACCAGCTGCCGCCCCCAGCCAACTCCAACAAGCCGCTGACCCCGTTCAGCATCGAGGACATCCTGAGCAAGCCGTCGGTGCGGAAAGCGGCCACCGGGCCCTGCGCCCCCTCGCCCCGGCTGCTGGACAGAGCGGCCGGCTCCGGAGCGCCCCGGAACGGCGTGCCCGCCCCGTCCTCCCCGCTCTGCGCCCTGGAGGAGCTGGCCAGCAAAACTTTCCAGGGGCTGGAGGTGAACGTGCTGCAGGCTGCGGAAGGTACCGGGGCGCGGCCGGGGCGGGACGATGGCCCGGGCAAAGCAGGGACAGGGTAGCCTCCCCCGGGGCTCCGGGCCTTGCCGACCCTGGCTGCCCGGCGGGGAGCACCGCGGTGACCCGGCCGGCCTCTGGGAGATGGGAAAGGGAGGCGGCCCCGAACTGCGCCGGGCTCTTTCCGGGACCCTGACGGCCCTGCGGCTTCCCCTGCCCGGTCCCGGAGAAAGCGAAAGCGCCCGCGGCAGGGGAGTCCCCGCAGCAGCCGATGAGGGTGAAGCCGGGCCGGGCTGGGGCTGCAGCCAGAGCGACCGGGGACCGAAATGGAGCCCGGGGCAAGAGACCCCCGCGCCGGGGAAAGTCCCGGGGCCTAAGCGCTGCGAGCAGGGAAGCGAGAGGGACGGGGCTGAGTTTTCAAGTTCCTTAGCGCGGTGGGTCTCCGCTCCTCCGGGGACCGGGGTTCGTTACCCCGCGGTGCCCAGGGATCTGCCAGGGGACAGCAGCTCCCCAGAGCTTGGCCTAGTTTACAAGAAAAGCACCAGCGAAGTCAGAACAAACTGACATTTCCTAGAGACACGGGCTTGTTTACCCCGACATGCGAGCGCCCTATGTAGAGTGGAACGGATCCCGTTTGTGGTAACAATGGGGCGGGCGGCCATTGTGCGGGACCGGGGCGCCGGACACTCCTGGGCCGTTGTGTCTGGATTTGGAATTCGGGGCGCCCCAGACCAATCAGACCCCGGGCGGGAGAGGTTGCGAGCCGCTGCCTTAGCTTGTGCCGGGGCTTGTCTGCGTGGAAGACTCATTCCCCATTTCCTAGACAGACAGACAGACACCCGGCTAACTAGCCAGACCGACCCAGACACACGGAGCCCAGCGATGTCTGTGCAGCTGCCGAGAGCTTCTCCGCGGGGCTGTAGCCTCCCACCGCGAAGGAACAAGCGGCCGGTTCCCGTTTCGCTTGACACAGACATTGTTACAATTATTGGGGCGGTTAAATAAATACTCCGCGTGTCGCCGGGGCAAAGTTTTGTTCCGCAGCCCGCGGGAGAACGCAGAAATTGACCCTACGGCGCGTTGGAATCCGCTCTCCGGGCGGCGCGGCGCGGCGCGGCGCGAAATGCGGGCTCTGAATTTGCGGCCAGAGCCCCGCGCATTACAGGCGATTTTCGTTTTTCTGAGACACACGCACAATTCTCCCGACACGCCGGGTATATTCCGAACAGAGACCGGCGTATCTGGCGGGTACGAACAGCCGGAGATGCGCCGCCCGGGAGCCGTAGCAAATAGCCCGCGGGCGTGTGAAATCGAGTTTATTTCGGACTTTCTCCCGGGCACACCCAGTTCACGCGAGTCCCGGGAAATGTGTGATTCGACACAACTCGCGGAGTGCACTCAAACCACGCGATCCACGGGCAGACACCGGCCGCCGGGTGTCTAAAATCGTTTCTCCCGCCCGACACCTTACGCTCGTACGAACGCGCTGAGTTCTGGTGCGTTTTACCGTTTGGGGATGTACAGGCGCAGGGCTGTGTATTGACTGTCTCGGAGCGCGCACGTTTCGGGCGATAAATGTCCCTGCGCGCCTCTCCGAAAGTTCAAAACTAGACTGGAAGGAGCCCGACCTTTTCAGACACCCCGGCCCCGCACGTCGGGCTCCGTTCGTAGGTCCCAGTGTGTCTGTGTCGGCCAAGCCCCGGCGCAGCATCGGGACAGAGAGAAAAGAACCGATATTCGCTATTCTGCACACACGCGTCTAACTCGTTAGCGGGGCCAGGGGCCGACGTGCGCCGCGCTGTCCGGTCCTGGGCTCGGGGACTCTCAAGCATGGAGCCGCCGCAGCGGCCTCGTCGGGGAGCTCTTAGCCCCTAAGGAAACGCACAATCGTTTCTAAAACGAAAGAAAGACGCTGCCGTGCGCGGGCTGTTTTAACCCGGGCTGGGTCTGTAATGCGGGAGATTGTCCGTTCGGGGTCGGTGACTGCACCCACGGCGTGTAACAAACGCGGCCATCGCTGTGTGTCCACGCACAACTCGAGCGTCGCCGCCGGCCCCTGGGCCGTGCCTGGCTCCCTCGCCCTGGCTGCGGCCGGGTTACGGGTTGGCGGGCGGGGAAACGAACCCGCGCGGAGGAGAGAATTTCACAGCGGGGAAGCTGCCCGCCCGGCCGGGTCTGTCTCAGGCTGGGCCGGGCCGGGAGATTTCGGGTCACTCCAGTGTCTTTGCCTAGTTTGTCTCCAGTTGTCCGCGGCCCCTCGCCGCCGGCCCGGCCTCAGCCCGAAGGACAAACCGCGGGCTGTCTGCAGGGCCCGATCCGCCGCCGCTGCGAGCTGCCCCAGCCCCAGGGAAGTCCCGGGACCCGGGACAAGTCACCGCAGCCGGCTCTGCCCCGGGCAGGAGAACGGAGCCGCTCCCCGGGACAGGCCTCGGGGCTGCAGGGGAGAAGGGCCGAAGCGCCGCGTTCCCCGCAAACGGGCAGAGGGAGGCCGGGGGTGCGAGTCCCCCGCGCCAGCGGGGTCCTGCCCCGGCTGATTTCTTTGTTCCCCACAGACCTGGGGGGGGGATTTCCTCCCTCACCCCCCAGCCGAAACGAGCCCGGGCTGTGAGGGGCCTTATCTCGGGCCGAGGGGCCCCGGGCAGCGTGCGGGGGGCTCGCAGGCCGCGCCACAGGGAGCCGGACCCGCGTCCCCATGGCCGGGGGGTGTCGAGGAAAAGGCCCCGGCCGGGGACGGCGCAGGGACGGTGCCCCCGGCCAGCAGCCGCCCTGACCGCCTCTCCCTCTCCCCGCAGGTCGCGACCCGCTGGGCGCCTTCGGGCCGCGGCCGGCCTCCAAGAAGCGGCGGAAGTCGCGCACGGCCTTCACCAACCACCAGCTCTACGAGCTGGAGAAGCGCTTCCTCTACCAGAAGTACCTGGCGCCGGCCGACCGCGACCACCTGGCGCAGCAGCTGGGCCTGAGCAACGCGCAGGTCATCACCTGGTTCCAGAACCGCCGCGCCAAGCTCAAGCGCGACCTGGAGGAGATGAAGGCCGACGTGGAGTCGCTCAAGAAGCTGCCGCCGGCCGCCCTGGAGAGCCTGGCGGGCATGGCCGAGCTCGGCGAGCCCCCGGGCCCCGAGCCCTGCTCCGAGGAGGAGATCGAGGTGGACGACTAGGGGCAGGGGCCAGCGCCCGGGGCCCGCGGCCGAGACCCCCCAGGCAGCCGGCCCCCGTCTGCGCCCCTCTGAACTGAGAGCCTGGGACTTACCAAATACACCTCACTGAGGGGGGAGCCCCCCTGCCCACCCTCAGGCGCGGGTACCCTTCCCCCAGCCTCCCCCCCTTCCTCTTCCTCCTCCTCCCCCCTCCGGGCCCGGGGTACCCTTCCCCCAGCCTCCCTCCTTCCTCTTCCTCCTCCTACCCCCTCCGGGCCCGGGGTACCTT